CAGCACCTCCAGCAGCACCACCAGAAGCTCCACAACCTCCAGCCGCAGCACCAGGAGCACTGTCAGTCGGGCCGCCAACGGCAGGCTCAGCGCCAACACCCTCAGCAGGACCAGCTCCAGGAGAACTCTCAGACTCAGCAGCTCCAGCACCCACAGTACGAGCGCCGGCGGGGCGCGCAGCAGCAGTACCCTCTGCAGCCGAAGAACCACCAGCACCAGCAGCACGCCTCCAGCGCCCGGCAAACCACTCACGCAGCTCCTGTGGGGAGAGTGGCTCCCGGCGAGACGAAGCACCCCCAGGCACAGCACCTCCAGGCTCAGCACCCCTAGACACAGCACCCCCAGGCACGGCACCCCCAGGCTCAGCACCCCCAGGCCCAGCACCCCCAGGCACAGCACCCCCAGACTCGGCACCCCCAGGCTCAGCTCCCCCAGGCACAGCACCCCCAGGCTCAGCACCCCCAGGCTCAGCACCCCCAGACTCGGCACCTCCAGGCTCAGCACCCCCAGACTCCGCACCCCCAGGCTCAGCTCCCGCAGCAGCACCAGAGTCACCAGTGACCTCGACAGGCTCGACCGCGTCTACCTGGGACACACCTGAAGGGGCAGGACCCTGAGGGGGGAGGGGGACTACCGGGGGGGGACCTGGTACCAAGAAGAGCGGGGGTGGGGGGAGGGACGGAGTGCGGTAGGGGAAGAGGCGGTAGTAGGGTACCGACTCGTCGAACGTGACGTCCTGGGAGGACAGAACACGTCGAGAGGTGGGGTGGTAAAACTGCCACCCAGGGGCGTCGGGGGGGAACCCCAGGAAGACGCAGGGAGAAGCACGAGGGGACAGCTTGTCCGCAGACAGGTCGCGAACAAACGCCCGAGATCCCCAGACCCGGAACGCCGACGCATCGCCAACCTTCCCCGTCCACAGCAAGGCTGGGGAGGTCTCCGGTCGAGAGACCCTGGGGTGGAGGTTGATCTGGTGCGCAGCGTACCTGACCGCAAACGGCCACAGAAAATGGGGAGCAGCCGCATGCATCATGGACGTACGAGCGACGTCCATGACCATGCCAATGCGGCGCTCAGCAATCCCATTTTGCTGCGGTGAGTCCGGAAGCGTGAAGGTCTGACGGATGCCTCGCACACAACAGTAGGCACTCAGGAGGCCGGAGGAGAACTCTCCACCTCTGTCCGAGTGCAGACGCAAAACAGGGAAGTCAGAGCCAAAGCTCCTCCGAAGCTGGAGACGAGCTGCGCGGATCCAGTCGATCAGCACCTCAGTGACCTCACCCTTGCTGCGCAAGGGGAAGACTGTGGTGTAACGCGAGTAGTCGTCAACCACCAGCAGGAAGTAGCGCTCCTGACCCTGTCCACGGACGCGGGCTGGGCCCCACACGTCCATGTGAAGCGTCTGCAACGGGGCCTCTGTGGGAGGAAACTGGGAGGAGTGAGGGGCAGCACGCTGGCGCCCCTCGACACAGGGTACACAGGTGGGGCCAGGGCCCGGAGGAAGGGGAGGGAGAGACCGGGGAAGACCAGACACAAGGACTCGCGAGGCCATGCCTCTGAGCCGAAGCAGAGAGGGGTGGCCAAGGCGGTGGTGCCAGAGGAGGGTCTCGTGAGACAGACGACGACACGAGCAGGGGGCAGACTCAGGACCAGACCTGGACGCTGCAGCAAACACCTGACCAGACGAAGGGACCCTACCAGACTCAGCACCTGGAGGAGAAGCAGTGGTCAGTGTGTACAGGCTCGACCCTGGCCGACGTGTAAACGTAGCCAGGTGGCGACCTGTATCCTCCTCCGTGCAGTGGGTCACCCGCTGACGAGCAGGGGTGAACTGGTGGACACCCGCATCCTGGAGGTCAGCACCACTCACCAAGTTCGTCGAGAACGAGGGGAGGTAGAGACCAGTCAGGGTGCCAGAGGGGGCCGCCGGACACGGGAGGACAGTGGAGAAGCGAGCCAGGACAGGCCCCCCAGAGGGGTCAGCCAGGGACACTGCAACCGGCCGACTCAGCGGCGTGAGAGTGGTGCGGTCCCTAAAGAAGGAGCGAGACGCTCCAGAGTCAAGGGTGAAGGTGTGAGAGGCCGAAGCCGACACAGTACCTGAGAGGGCAGACTCACCAGCACCTGAGAGCACAGACGCACTGGCACCTAGAGCAGCAGCCTCACTAGTACCTGACGCGGCAGTACCAATGCCCGGGTCGGGCGGGAAACACCGGTAACAGTCATCCTCATCACTACCAA